CCTCGGAGATCCCTTCCTACTCTATTATTCTATGCTCTATGCTAGTCTGTATAGATAGTACTGAGGTAGAAGGGACAATAGCTTATTTTAATATAGGAAAGCCTACATGTTCATAGCTTCAAAATCCTAGTTTCTATATTCTGCAAATATCAAAAGTTCAATTTGAAGACGTTCTTAAAGGATTCTGTCCTTTTTTATTTTATTTATTTTATTTTATTTCAAATTTATATACCACACCTTCTCCCGAGGGACTCAGGGCGGTGTACAGCCAGATAAAAACATACAATACAAACATTAAAAACAATTAAAAGAATATATATTAATTGAATTATATCAAATGATGCATTTTAGTTTTGCTATTAATAGGATCTGTGAGATGATCTATGAGACCTGTCCTGTTAAGATATTCTTGCATCCTCGGCAATTAAATGCGGGATATATTTGAAAATCTCAAATTTTGTTTCAAGGAGAGCAGGATTAAAATGTAATGATGGTTGTCTGGCATCTGTTTTATTTGTAAAATACTGTATGGGTTGTAAATAATGTCCCCTGGTTATCATTCTCCCATTCCCCCCCCCCAATATTATATTACTTCCCAAGACCTTTGGTACTTTTTGCACACCTCCCGATAATTTTCCAGTGCCATTGCCTATTCTCATTAATATGCAAGCCATTCATTCAAGAACTCTCTCTCTTTTTTAAATGAAAACTGTCTTCTTCAAAATCTTCACTTTGTGACTTTGTCCCATGTGGTAATAAATGTTTAAATAAATGTTTATAGCAATTATAAATATAATTTCAGAGATGTCAATGAACATTGTTGCTTGAATTGTGCAATTAAACCTAAGCGTGGTATTGATAAATGGCAACATGTGTTCAGTGATTTTGTAACATAATAAGTCTTTATTTTGAGCTCAATACATCATACTAAGCCGTCTAATATATAGTTGTAATATTCATTGTTGCTTCTCCAAAAGAAAAACAAAAGAAAAGAAAAAGAAAAAAAATGCTGTTCGAATAGTAGATACGTATTTGAGGTCTAACTTCTCCCTTTATTTTTTCATTCCTGTTTTCTGTCTAGATAATTCCTAGAAATGAGGCTGAACTCTTTCGTCATTGATCATTTATTAGTGGCAGGAGTAACACATAGCAATAACACACCCTCTCTCTAACACAAGCAACACTTAATAGACATTTTTAAAGGCGGTGGTTACTAGCATAGAAAGTGACTAGGCTGATGGTGTAAACAGCATGGGACTATTTTTGAACTCATTTGTAAAGCTAGATAATGCTTACAGTTAAAGAAATGACCAGGGAGAGTCTGGTCATTTCTTACTAGCAGGATAAAAAGTGTTTTTAATGCTAGATCAGGACTGGCGGGAAAAAAAAGTTTTCCCCCCAAGGAAAAATCCTCAATGCCTAGCATTAAGTCAGTGAGGTAACTTTCTCTAACTTAACACAAGTTTTGCAATTCTGGACTTTCCCAGATCTTACAAAACTCATGGAAATTTTGTAAGTACTGCAGCCCCTTTCTTCGCATGTAAGCATATCTCTATTTGTTGTGGCAACAGGCATATACAGTGAAGGCATTGATACTGAGAGCTAGAAGGGAAGGAATCAGGATTGCTTACCTGGAGATATTGCTTCTTTTTAAAATAACCTGAGGATAGTTAGAATGTGGAAGGCATTATTTTGGATTTATACAGCATATAAGGTTTCTGTAATATTTCATTTTCCCCCTCCCATTCTTAGATTTATGTTTGGGTTGAAGGATAATTAATTGATATTTTGTAAATTCATATTTAAGGGTCTTTATGGTGCCCCCCCACTCCAAAATCAAAGGTGTTGAGGTAATAAGTCATGAAGTATTATAAATTATAATGAAAGCGAAATTATTTTTAAAGAGTAAAGCAACAGCATCAGTTTCTGATCCAGAATGATCACCTCTCTGTCTCTGTCTCTCTCCCCCCATCTCCCTCTCTCCCTCCCCCCCTCTCTCTCACACACAGTGACATGGATGGCCATATATTTATTTTATTTTATTTATTTTATTTTTCAATTTATATACTGCCCTTCTCCCTAAGGACTCAGGGCGGTGCACAGCCAGAATTAAGAACATGAACTACAAATATTAAGAACAATTAAAATATATATAAATTTGGCCCAAAAATTTTCTTACATAAATAAATAAACTGGTCCAAGGTTACCCAGCTGGCTTCATGCCTCAGATGGAACTAGAATTCATTCTCTCCTAGTTCCTAGTCTGATACCTTAACCACTGCATCAAACTGGCTATCCAAATAGATAAATAATGCCGTAACATAAATGTGATGAGATTGCTTCTTAGAAGCATCAGAACCAGGGGGAATCCAGCAGGTTATTTATTTATTTTTTATTTGTTTAAATTTCTATACCGCCCTTCTCCAAATAGGACTCAGGGCGGTGCACAGCCTAAGTAAAAACAAAGCATACAAAATTTAAAAAACAGTATTAAAATAATTAGATATTCTGGCCGTAAATTAAAACAACCCAATTTAAAACCAATTTAAAATTTGCTCAAGTTCTGACAGGTTCTGGAGGACCGGTAGCGGAAATTTTGAGAAGTTCGGAGAACCGGTAAATACCACTCTGGCTGGCTCCAGAGTGGGGTGGGAATGGAGATTTTGCAGTATCCTTCCCCTGGAGTGGGGTGGGAATGGGGATTTTGCAGTATCCTTCCCCTGGAGTGGGGACAGAATGGGGATTTTGCAATATCCTTCCCCTGGAGTGGGGAGGGAATGGTGATTTTGCAGTATCCTTCGCCCAGGAGTGGGGTGGGAATGGTGATTTTGCAGTATCCGTCCCCTGCCACGCCCACCAAGCCACGCCCACAGAACCGGTAGTAAAAAAATTTGGATTTCACCACTGATCAGAACACCTGACCTCTCTAGTAACTGGCCCATTTAAACCATTTTTAAATTCAATGCCCTACGGAGAAGTAAAACACCTGAAAACATTCACTTGAATGCTACTTAAGGTTACCTTAAAATATGCTTGCTTAAGTATAACTAACATGACAGTAAGACAGAGCCTGACTGAGTATTAGGGGGAAAAAACATTCTCTAATAGTAAGACTAATTCAAGAGTAGAACCAAATATTTAGGTGAGGGATGAAGGCTCCCAGTGCTGGATATGAAGGTGCTAGAAAGTGAGTAATACCAATGCTGGATACAGTCAAAGGGAGGCAGGAAAACAATGGTTTAAATTCCTGCACACAACATAAATTAAATTCAGTATCCCAAGTAGCTTTTTTAAACAGCTGTATGTATCTATGCCTGTAATATGGACCTGAGTATCTGAGGTAACATCTGTTCTTTTTAGATATAGCTGATACAGCACCGTTTCTATAGTCATTTTTTCACAGAATGCAGCAGCAACTCCACCAGGTTGATGTTGGATAATCATTTGTCTGAAATGGTATAGGGTTTCCTGTTTAAGCAGGGGGTTGGACTAGAAGACCTCCAAGGTCCCTTCTATTCTATTCTATTCTATTCTATTCTATTCTATTCTATTCTATTCTATTCTATTCCATTCCATTCCATTCCATTCCATTCCATTCCATTCCATTCCATTCCATTCCATTCCATTCCCTCAATAACAGATTTGGTATTTTGGAAGGACTGAATTCCAACTACAAACTGATTTTAACCCAGGCCAGCTAGTTAACTAACCCTATTTCACCTTGCCTGCCTTCATCCAAATGGCTCCCAAATATTTGCTGAAGTAGTACTGTGTATCATCAACATGCTGTTGACATCTGGATATGTTTTCCTCTATGAGTTCATGTAGATATTGAAGCAAAGGGGCAAGGGGAAACTGTATACACCCTAAGAACACATTAACTATTGTCTTTTTAATTATAGCAGAAACAATAATACCCTAGAAACTCCTTCAGAATTCCTGATACAGATAAAAATCCTAAACTTGCAAAATTCTAATATTCAGGAAAAATAGCTTATCCACACCCTTAGGATGCACAAGCTGGGGAAAAAAAATCAAAGTCGTTATGGATGGATTTGGTTGTGTTCGATCCTGTTAATATAAGCAAATACTTTATGTTCTACCGTTATTATTTTAAAAATAGTCCAAGATGGCAAACATATCCAATGTACCTTCCTCCTCCTATTTTCCTCACAGGTGAGTTGGGCTGAAAGAGGCCTAAAGTTACCCACCTGGCTTTTGTGCCTAAGGCAGGACTTGAACTCACAGTTTCCCACTTAATAGCATGCTGTAGGCCAGAGGTGGGCAACTGTGGCCCTTTTACTTCAAGTCCACAAGTTGTAAAAGGGCCACAGTTGCCCACCCCTGCTGTAGGCTAAACTGGCTCTCAAAAATATGAGTGATTTTTCAGAGAAATGAAATGAATGTTAGCTATAGCGAGCCTTCAATGTTTCTGTCACCTGATTTTTGTCATCAAACCTGCATGCAGATGGCTCCTTATCACCTGAAAATTCTGGCATTACAATTACATATATCCTTGGCGGTGATGATATTTGGTCCCTTTTAATCTACCACAGAGTTTACACAGCTGTATAATTGAGTACCAAAGCAACTCTACCAATTTTCTACCAATTAATTGTGAAAAATGTAGTCAAGGAAAACAAGGATTGGCTAAGGTTAAAAGAGGCAGGAGCGAGAGTGATTTCAATTATTGTTTATATATTTTTTAATGTACATGGGCATTAAACAAATTTCTTCAAATTGCCATTGTATCGGTATAGGCTCTTCCTCCAGTTCCTCAGATTGATTCCTTCTACCCATTACTGGTTGAATGCCATTTGTGAGATCCTCAAAAAAAAGTAATAGTTTGGTGAAGAGTAATATGTGAATTAGTTTATTGTGATGGTGGGAGCAAGAATGGATTGGAAGAATACAAGGTATGGAATGGTGAATGGTGTTGGTATAAACTTGATTTAAATTAACTACTTTTCCTTTTCTTATCCCATCCCTTTAATTTCTTTAGCTTATTATTTCTTATGGTCTACATGAAGATGGTTACTCTAAAAGGGAACAGCATGAACAGTATGTATGTATATATGTTTTCCCACATAAAACTTTACAGATAGATTGCTATTTTTGTTTTGCATTTATTTATTGACATGATGATTTTTGGCAATTATTCATAGTATGTTTAAGTTGTATTTACTGCTTTAGACTTGGAAAAGTTGTATTTAAATAAACAGATAATGATGGTGAGTGATGATTTACAATGACAAAGCTACACTCTGAAGCTTGCTTAGACTAGGAATGCAAAAGCAATCAAATCTCAAATTTCCTTTGAGTACAATAGAGTGATTTGCCAGACTCAATTGAGGCAAAGATGGGCACATAATTCAAAAAGTCTAATAATTTCTATTTGGAAAGACTCCTCAATGTGAAAAACAATAGAAGTAAAAAACCTGGTTTTAGGATTGAGAAAAAAGTGGACTACTTGAGTATTTATTTATTTATTTATTGGTTTGATTTATATGCCGCCCTTCTTTATATTTATATGCCCTCAGGGCGGCTTACAATGCATTAAGCAATAGCCTTCATACTTTTGTATATACCTGCTTAGTAGGGCTTTCGGGCCCCCCAGGCAGTGTTCTTTTTTATACAAAGTCAGCTTATTGCCCCCACAATCTGGGTCCTCATTTTACCTACCTTGAAAGGATGGAAGGCTGAGTCAACCTTGAGGCTGGTGAGATTTGAACTTGCAGTAATTGCAGGCAGCTGGTGCCACTTAACAGCACTTTAGTCTGCTGCGCCACCAATGCTCTACTCTACTTCACTATGATACTCAATTATATCAGAATAATTATGTTAAGAGCTGGAATGAAACCAGTAAGGACATGTTAGGATTGGAGTCATTACCATTGTCATTTTTGTGGAGAATTTCTGTGATAAAAATGAGCATTTTGCCTACAATGATGTATTTGTTTCAGGCAATGCCTATTATGACAACTAAAGTACTGTTAAAACAATGACAGAAAGCTATATCCAACTGTAGATCAAGGGGAAAAACCAAAAATTAAATATAAAATATCCCAAATGTGCTTTTTCAAGAGGCAACTGGACTTTCTGGTTTTTCTTTGAAGACGTTTTGCTTCTCATCCAAGAAGCTTCTTCAGCTCTGAATTTCTAAATACAAAATACTTTGAGGTGCAAAGGAACAAGGAAGAGTGGGACTGCCTGATTTGAAATTGTGTTTTGTAGCCAGCATAGTTTGGATGAAAGAATGGGTGTTAACAAGACATGAAGAGAATTTTAGAATTGGAATTGGAAGGACACAGTGAGTTCTAGTCCTGCCTTGGGACCATTTTTCACAGTTATGACTTTTGCACCATCCCCATGATCATGTGATCAAAATTCAGATGCTTGGTAACTGGTTCATACTTATGACCATTGCTGTGTCCCAAGATCATGTGATCACCTTTTGTGACCTTCTGACAAGCAAAGCCAGTGGGAAAGTCAAATTCATTTAACAACTGGGTCACTAACTTATCACCTGCAGTGATTCACTTAACAACTGCGGCAAGAAAGGTCATAAAATGGGGCAAAACTCACTTAACAAATGTCTCATTTAACAACAGATGTTTTGGGCTCCATTGTGATCGTAAATTGAGGATTACCTCTAATGTATGGTGCACTAAACTGCCTGAGTTCTAATTTAGAAGCAATTGCTTGAAATGAACATAAAGCCATGTCATACAAAATTATTTCATACATGAATTAAAGTGGGAAGGCCTGGAATTATTTATTTATTTATTTACATTATATAGCCATCTATTTCACATAATGATTCTAGGAGGCTCATAACATTCCATAAAATAGAGTTTAAAAAATCTCCTTCTCCGAGTAGCCAGCCCAAACATCATTACAGTTCACCCCCATCCTCACCCAATGCTTGGGGTAAGGACAAGTCTTCACAACCTTCCAGAAAGCTAAAAAAAAGGGATAGTGATGAATTGTCATGAAGAAGTGGGTTATTTCTAAACTGTGTTATGGAGAGAAATACTATGGCTTTTGTGAAAAGGATAAGTATTTTCTTGTTCCAGGTTTAGAGTGGAATTTGTCAGAAAGCGATTTCTCTTCTTTGAGTTGGGAACACTTTTTTTCTGCTAGATTTTCCAATTAGCAATTGTTGCTATTGCTGAAGAGTCTTTTCAAGAAGGGATCCAGCAGTGGAATTTTGGCTCTGCTAGTTGGCTTTTCCTGATGACTCAGAATTTCTGCTCCGTTTTTCATTTAATTCGGCAGTTGGGGAAAAATACAACTAAAACAAATGTAACTTTCATTTTGTCACGGGGCAATGCAATTTCAGATAAACACATTTTAGTTTACATTTATGTAGCCTTACAGAAACAGTAATGACAGACTTAGTTCTGGCACACTAGCAAGCAAGTTAAGCCAAATGCCAACATTCGTTAGGCAGCTTAGATATTCTGAGGCCAACTTAGTCAAGAAAACCTTGACTATAAACTGAACATCACCGGCATTCTTGGGTGTCTCTGGGCTATAGATTTAGCACATCGATCAACCTTTGTGATGTTCTTGTTCTTCTGACGGGCAGCACATTTGCTATTGAGTTCAGAAAAATCCAGAAAGGTGAAAGATATGACCTACAAAGTTATACCCAGTTAAGCAGCCAAAAGCATATTTTTCCTCACTACTTGGGGAAATTAATATCTCTGCACCTCCATATGTGTGGCATGATGAAAGCTAAAATTTAGATGCTTCCTAAAGACCAAGTTCCAGCTGTTGCTTGGGTTTGTTTTTGTTTTTTAATTTCTCTGTATGTTTTTGGGTGTCTGTTTTGTTGGATTTTAGCCATAAGAGCCTTGGTGGCGCAGCAGACTAAAGTGCTGTTAAGTAGCACCAGCTGCCTGCAATTACTGCAAATTCAAATCTCACCAGGCTCAAGGTTGACTCAGCCTTCCATCCTTTCGAGGTAGGTAAAATGAGGACCCGGATTGTGGGGGCAATAAGCAGACTTTGTATAAAAAAGAACACCGCTTGGGGGGGCCGAAAGCCCTACTAAGCAGGTATATACAAAAAGTATGAAGGCTATTGCTTAACACATTGTAAGCCCTGAGTCTCCGGAGAAGGGCGGCATATAAATCGAACCAATAATTAAATAAATAAATAAATAATAAAGTTCTATCCATTAATAATTTTTTTAAAATATCATTTATTAGAAATCTCAGATCTAATGAAAGTGGGCCAATAGAAGAAAAAAAACCCAGTCTTTTGGTCATTAAGAACTATATCAGGAATTTTTTAAAAAGTTTGAGGGCTGTACCTCTGTGAAATTCTGAATTTTTCAGAGGGGATTTAGATGGTGTTCTTTGTTGTTTACTGTCTTAAGTTTATATGGCTTTTCAAACTAATAATTTTAACTCTGGGTGATGCACAAACAACAAAAAGCAAAGAACCCAATATAATTAAAAAACAATGAATAAATCCAAATTTATATTACACTCCTCCAAGTGAGAACTCCAATCAACTTTATCCCATTGCCCAGAAATGAACCAGATTGTTAGAGCTTTTCTAATGGCCAACAGGATTGGAGTCAAGTGTATATTGATTTTTAAATGTGATGATCCTACTGTAGAAAACACTACATTTTTTGTTGGTTTCCACTTCAAACAGGAAGTATGCCACAGTCCTAATCAGGAAATGTCTGAGTGCCACAAAAGAGAAGTTGAGGATTACATGCTGATCTGTGACCTATCAGAAGTGCTGAAATCTTTCATCTGGCCCTGATACTCATATTGTGGTATATCCTCCAATTAGGGAAAATGCTACCATTTGTCAGCAGTAATGTAAGCAAACAGTTGCCATTTTAGTCTTCAGAGTTTTATTCCTCATTAAGAAAGGAGCAAATTAATTATTAAGTTATTGTTCAATCTTTATGCTTCACTTTGGGCTCTTATGAAATGTGGACCACTTGGTTACATATTCTAATCTTGGTAACTCGATTGATTATTCTTAACCGAATAAACAATTTAGGGATGCAGGGCCTGGGAGAAACTGCCAATTGCTAATCTCGTCTCCACAGATTGTTCTTTCTGATGTGACAGTAGTGATGAGTCAAAGGGAATCGATCAATCAATCTTGCTACTGAAGTAACATTGTAGTCTATTCTATACAGCCTATGACAGTAATAATGCATCAAAGAAAATCAATCAATCAATCAATCAATCAATCAATCATTCGATCGTCTTGCTATTGCAGCGCCATTCCATTCTATTGTAGGATAGTTAGAACCTATGTCTGCAAAATGACAATAATAGAAAAACAGGAATGAGTCTAAAAGAGAATGGAAAGTGGAAATCCCCGGAAGTCTAAGGGTGGTCATTTGCTGGATGACTAAGCAGCATTCCAAAATTTTCTCTTTTGCTTTTTGAAAAATCATTTTAAAAAAATGTTCTTGTGGTAAGGCTTCTTTTGAATCCAGTCAAAAATAAAAGCAATGACATTCTTATTCACACTGTGCAACTCTGGCAGCTGCAGATCACACACACACACACACACACACACACACACACACACACACACACACGGTCACCTCCCCCTCCATACACACACACACACACACACACACACACACACACACACACACATATATATGGAGTGGGAGGTGACCATGCACTGTCCAGACCTTCTATATTTGGTTGAGATTTTCTCATTTTGCCATTTTGACTGTGTGGAACAAGCTTTCTGGAAGTTGCTGGGTGATGGGGAATCATGGAAGAAGTTGTATTAGCCTTCCCCTAACAGGCCACAAACCTGAGAAGTTCTAGTAACTTTTAAAAAGTGTAGCCCTAATCTTAAAAGACAAGCAATCACAGAGAAAATTAACCACAAAACAAGTCAGCCCTGTCCAAAACCTCAAGGGGAAAACATGGCAAATTAATAACTGGATAGACAAGGGTAGCTAATTTGTAAACGCTACCCCAAGGCTTTGGAAATTCGGTTGCAGCTGTGTGTCCTCCTTCAGCCATCATCACACAATTTTGCAGGCAAATTTTCTCCCTTCACTAGCAAAGAAACAATGGTCTCTTTAAAGAGAGAAATAGGACCAAGGAATGAAGAATTCTCTAGACAGGCATCCAAATTTCCTTGGGATATCTGGACCTAGTCTGGAGGTTTGGATGCTGCATTTCAACTAGATGCCAGCAACACAAGAGCTCATTCATTTTCCAGCCAAATTCGAGTGGAAGCCACATTTATCTCTTTATATGATGGTTATATTTCACAGCCCATAGGGCCACATAAATGTCTAATCATAGTCTGATTATAGCAGCCTTTATTTAGCATATAAATTTTCAGTCTGTTTAATCAAGCGGATAGACCATGTTCCTTAAGGGCCTAAGGACAGAAGAAAGCCTAAATGCCTATGACTGATAACTGCTCTTTACAAAATATGTCATCTGAATTTTGTAAAAAGCAACTAATTTGGAGAAGGCTTGAAAGCATGAACAAACCATTTGCCTGCAGGATTTTTCGTACCCATCCTGCTCTTTCTTTCTCTGTCCCTTTGAATCTCAACATTTTCAATGACATACCAGAAAGAATGCATTTTCAAACATTCAGGGAATTACCTATTTTAGTGAGGCACCTCCCTCCCCATTTATAATTAATTGTCCGCCACATTCTATAATGTGCAGAATTTTGTGAATTGGTGTCTGAACATAATTGCTTCCCCAAATTCCAATTTCCTTGAAGGCCACCTTTTAAATATAAATTTTCCATGATGCAGACTTTAAAATTGTTCCCCAAGTTCCTCAGCATCAATTTCTTTTTTCTTTTAACCCAGCTATCCGAAAACATTTTTGTAACATGAAATAAGTTACTTTCAGATATATCTTTCACAAATAAATATTTTTATTATACGCATCTTTGGCTGGAGAAAGTTGAATCTGCTCACTACTAATTTTGGTCATGTGTCAGAATCTGTTTTGGCTGACCTCACAAATCTACTCCAGTAGATATCTTTGGCACGTGTATTATATTTCTAGTGCTTTATCCAGGCTGTTTTTTTGCCTTTTAATAATCATATATGTTTTGTTTGGCATATTAAAGTGCAGAGCAATCTTATTGTGCATTTACAACATTGTTATTGCTTTAATTTTAACTTTGTAAGAGATCCTATGCAACTCATTTCAGCTACTTCAGTCAGACCTTCCTACTTATACAGCAGGGCCCCAACTGTACATGAGTACGTTGTTCTGTTGTGCCCAACTCTCTGTGATTTTATGGATCACAGCATGCTAAGCCCTCCAATCCTCAACCATAAACCCATCCCCACCACATTGATACCACTATCTAACCATCTCATCCTTTGCCGTCCCTGCCTCCTTTTGCTTTCAATATTTCCCAACATCAATGACCTTTTGAACAGAGTTGACTGATTTGATCTCCTTGCAGTTCAAGAGCTTTCTTAACAGAATCTGAAGATACCTTATGTGAATTTGATTTGTTTCCAGAAATTTTTAGTACACCAATTTGTCTAGCATAATCCTCAAAAACTGAGTTTCCACGAGGATAGGAAAAAAAAATCCATGATGAGACCCAATGATTGCTGAGGGAAATGTTTTTCAACTTGCAGGCTTTAATAAAGGCACACTCTTAATGAAGGTGAGGCTACCATCTTTGTTGATCTTTATGAAACAAATACTAAATATTTCTGGAAGGCCTCTGAGAAGTGTGAAGCCGCTGGGCGAGATCATCCGTGGCTTCGGGGTGGATTTCCATCAGTACGCTGATGATACTCAGTGTACATTTCCACCCCGGGCCACCCCAATGATGCCCTTGAAGTGATGACCCGGTGCCTGGAAGCCATACGGATCTGGATGGAGAGGAACAAGCTCAGACTCAACCCCTCCAAGACCGAGTGGCTGTGGTTTCCGGCGTCCCATCATAGTCAATTGACTCCATCACTAACTATTGTGGGTGAGATCTTGACCCCCTCAGAAAGGGCTCGCAACTTGGGTGTCTTTCTGGACTCACAGCTGTCTTTAGAAGACCATCTGACAGCTGTGGCCAGGGGGGCTTTTTATCAGGTTCGCCTGATTTACCAGTTGCGTCCCTTTCTGGACTGGGATTCCCTACGCACAGTCACTCACGCCCTCGTCACCTCCCGTCTGGACTATTGTAACGCTCTCTACATGGGGCATTCCTTGAAGAGCACCCGGAGGCTCCAACTGGTCCAGAATGCGGCCGCGCGGGTAATTACGGGAGCGACTTGACGCTCCCATGTAACACCGTTCCTGCGCAAGCTGCACTGGCTCCCGGTGGTCTTCCGGGTGCGATTCAAGGTGTTGGTTGCCACCTTTAAAGCGCTCCATGGCTTGGGACCTGGGTATTTACAAGACCGCCTTCTGCCACCGATAGCCTCCCATCGACCAGTACACTCCCACAGAGAGGGGCTCCTCCGGGTGCCATCGGCTAGGCAATGTTGGCTGACGACCCCCAGGGGGAGAGCATTCTCTGTGGGGGCCCCTACCCTCTGGAATGAGCTGCCCCCGGAGATTCGTAGGATTCACGACCTTCGTACTTTTCGTTATGCCCTAAAAACATTATTATTCCAACAAGCAGGGCTGGCCTAAATAATAATAACATTTTACTATTTAAATGGGTTGTTTTATTAGAGTTTTTTGGCCAATTTATTTAATTGTTTTAAATTGCTTTTAATTTTTATATTGTCATGGTTTTATTTTTGGCTGTACACCGCCCTGAATCCTTTGGGAGAAGGGTGGTATAGAAATTAAATAAAATAAAAATAAATAATTAAAATAAAGTGAATGGTTGCTTATTATGCCTGCTAAATTATGATTACACCATGCATGCATACATGTATACTGTATGTAATATCAGGAATAAAAAAGAAACAGAAAAAACATCTCCCAAGAAGATACCTTCCCATACCAGCAAACAACTTATTCCCACAATTTCTTTAAGATACTAACATCATCAATTAACTATCAATATCTTATTTTCTTTTTTATGCCTTCGACTTAGTTTTTGATTCCTGATGATTGCCTGGCCTACTCCCTGCAGTTTGCTTGCCATGTTTTTTCAGAAGTAGTGTTGCCTTTGCCTCCTTCATAGAGCTGAGAGAGTGACTGGCCCAAGGCCAGCAGCTGGTTTTGTGCCTAAGGTAGGACTAGAACTCAGTCTCCCAGTTTCTAGCCTGATGTCTTATCCTCTACACCAGTGATGGTTAACCTTTTTGCCATCGCGTGCCAAAAGTGGGGGGAGCATGGGGGAGTCACGCGTGTGCGTGCCCATACCCATAATGCAATGCACCCCACCCCCTAGAAAGCCTTGAGCCTGGGGAGAGTGAAAACCGGGCCTTCCCCACCCCCACCCCCGGAGGCCCTCCAGAGGCCAGAAACAGCCTATTTCCTGACTTCCGGTGGGCCCGGAAGACCCGAAAATCAGCTGGCCAGTGCATGCATGCGGGCTGCAGCTGAACTAGGGCAATGCTCACGTGCCCACCAATATGGCTCCGCGTGCCACCTGTGCCATCACAGCTCTACACCATGGGGGTCAAACTTGCTGTATCATATTGCCAGCCCGTGATGTTTCGCAATGTTTTTCCCATTTGCAGAGCTGGGGTTGTCGTGGCCTGCACATGACGCATCCGGCCCGGAGGCCACCAGTTTGACACCCCTGCTCTACACTGTATTACTTCTGCTAACTAAGCATCATTTCAAAACTGTTGCACATGCTACCCAGTTTGTACATGCTACAGTTGAGCATACTGTACTGCTGACTTTAATCTAACTTTAAATGATGCATGGAAATGATGCACTGA